GACTGTATGCGGGTTTACAGACACTCGATAGAAGTCCTGTGAATAAGCCGTTTCTATTAGGTTGTTCGGAAAGTAATGCGGGTTTTCAACCTCTATTTTTGAAGAAGCATATCTCCACTCAAATTCAACATTTTCGATCGTAACAAAAACTATTCAAAACTACATATTTTTCTTAACAAGATGCACACTCAACTGTCCCGCCCATGTGACAATGAGCGCTTCTGTAGGCGATGAAATCATCGAACGTCGTTTCCAGATCACTTTGAACACTGAAGTATTTCTTGCTCAAGAAGCTGTCGGGATGGTTGGAAAAAGTGTTATTGGTGAGCGAGAGGTCCAATGAGTACGACGTGTTGAGCAAAGCTTCGTATGCCAGTTTGTCCAATCTTTGCGAGGTCGTTTATGGGACATGTGGCTGAGCGCCACCATGAAGGAGGGTTGTTTCATTTCTCTCGGTTGACGAAGTTGGTGTTTCTAGAGCATCTCATCGGTATGCTGGAGAGACATTGGTGTTGTGTCAAATTCACCTGGTTCCCAAGAGCTGTGGTGCATCAGCCCCGTGGGAGACCGCCGAATGTTCAGCTCAACATTGACCTACTACAATTTCGGCTTTAGATAACTTTTTGAAGATTCATCGCGGTCCAGCTTGTGAAGGGATGGCTTGCTATATTCGTGAACAGTCCATTTTCCATTTTAGATTGCAATGCTTTCCTAATATTCGTGGTTTTCGTTACGTAAAATGGGTGGAAACGACACCTTAGGAATACGGTTTTGCTGCTGCATCGGGTAGCCAATGCGGTAGCCATCTGTTCAGCTTTTTCACCTCCCCAATTATCTTCATGAGACACAATCTTTTCAATATACTTACTCCCAGTCCTACTGCTAACTATAGTGCAGTTGGTCCGAAACCATCTTCTACGGGAACCTTTAGAAGGCCGTCGTTAACAGCGGAATCATGCTCATGACTCCCCTCACCTTCACGATGGAATTCATTGAGACCAAAATGTTGGAGCCGATGTTGTGCTGTGCTTTTATTGGTGCTTCCTTGGCCCCATCCTTCAGTGTTATTTCGACTGGTCTACGAAGCACTACCTCAGAGTTTCAGCACATCGAAGTAAACTTGCCAAAATCGCTGTCTTGACACCTTTATTTCAAATCTATAAAAACCCCGAAATAGCAAGCCATATTGAAACTCAAATACACTGAAGGAAAGAAGATACAATAGGCTTGCCAATGATATATAGGGCTTCAGGTCTCGAATGAAATATCAGTATAAAAATATTTCATGAATGCATGGCATCTCGAAACCCGCATTACTTCCGAACAACCGAATAATCCATAATATTATCGGAAAACCTAGCGAACTAGGTCAGAACAGGTGGAATGAGTGCAGCTGATGCCAGTACATTTTGTACAAACTTAAATCTGGTACTATAGTATGAATCTGCCCTAATTTCCGGTAGATAAGTCAGCGCCAATGTAAACACCTCCACTTGTGCAATAAATTTTGTACATCTTATAAACTACCGTAAATTCGCCTATTGAGATAGTTCGATGTCCTGTTACGAAAAGGACGCCATCAGGTGCGGTGGCGCCATCTGGCGCCAGTTGGCGGTCACCTTGTCATGAGCACCCAGTTTTCACAACATTTGGTGTGAACTCTCCGCATAAGGGTTATTTGGTGTCCTGATCACGAATATGGCATTCATTCTCGGCGCTGGCGCTATTTGGCGCCTATTTTTCTGCTCGTCTCGCTCTCCAACCGAGAAATATACGTTGAACAAAATGACCACTTCACAAAAGTTTACATCGATTTTAGTGAAATAACAGGCGTGGTGGCAAAGGGCGACGCCAACTGGCGCCAGATGGCGCCATTCGCTATAAGCGAAGGTTACTATGTGGAACTACCTATGGACAAGTTTCGGTTGTTTCTAGATGTACGCAAAAAGCACTGCACCAGCGGAGGTCTTTTTACGTGATCTCGGCGCGGGCTTATAAACCAGAAATTGGGCTAAATGTAGAGATAAATGCCAATAATCCTTTTCCTCAATTTTTGTTCTATTAAAAATGAATGAATCGTTTAGTGCCATCCCCAGCTAATTCACTTGTTGCTCTCCTCAACTGCGATTGACCACTAATAGATAAATAAATAAATAAATAAATAAATAAATAAATAAAAAAAGCAAAGAAAGTAAATAAGGATTATAGCATATAAATTTTTGCAACATTGGACGAGCGGGCTACGGGCCACATATAAGCTCTCGAGCTAGAACAAAAAAACAGTTGGACTTTCTGCCTCATTTTGGATGCATTGTCAAGCACAGTGGTCGAGACAATGAGGATAATCCAGGAGGGAGAAAGACCGGATCCGCGTCACTGCTGCGAATCAACATGCGGGCATGAGCGTTTAAGGGCATTATCCGTGTTTGAACCGTCTCGGTACTCGCTCTGCGTGTTCCGCTTCCTCACAGCCGCTTGTATCTCACTACGCTCACATGCACTCGGCCTCAACAGTACGGAATTCATTGCGTTTTGCCATGGATGACTTTTGTATTCTCCTACCACCGCGTGGGGGCGCGCGAGGCGGCCGCTACCAATCAACCTCTTTATTTTATTTCAGAGCAGAAATAATACACAATTCGATCAAACAACGCATGTTTAGATCCCCTAATGCTTATTTTCCTTTCTCTTTTTTTTGATATGGCGACCTGACATGAATGTTTGAGCACGTTTGCTGTCAAAAACGAATAGAATTTATGTTCAGATGGCCGAGCAGAAACCTTCACTGGATCAACTTTTGGACGGGGTCGGCCAACAGGCCGACAATTCTAATGATTTAATCGACATTGGTGATAATCTCAATATGGAAGATGTGCTGAGTGGTGTACTGAATCAAACTAACAACGATTCCCTATCCACCCTTGGCAGAGAGCGACTGAAGCGACAACGACGTGGTAATCGAATGAAGGTTAGCTATTTCACACTAGAGATGTTTAGAGGTACAAAGCTCGACATCCATCATTGTGCCCTCAACAAATAAGATTTTATGGTGCTGTAGAGAGCCATCAAAAGAAGGTCAACTACTAGTGGAGACACCATCGGATTGCACAGATATAGGAAAGCTCTTAAGATGTGGAAGCGAGCAGGATAGTATCAAATAAGATTCGTATGAAATGATTCGGATAGGATAGACAGAAGGTGATTCTACGACATCTATACTCAATTTCAAAAAACGAGAAGAGCGTCGGGTGCAGACCATACACCACAAGTGACGACGGCCTCCACAAAATGTAATGTTTTCTGCCAATGAAATGATTAGCCTGTTGCAGTTGTATTCTATCAGTTGTCACTAATTACAACTATCATTTACCAAAATCAGCTATCACTATGAACCACTACTAACCAGATTTACTTGGAGGCCGTCGTCACTTGTGGTGTATGGTCTGCACCCGACGCTCTTCTCATTTTTTGAAAGGGAGGGTAACCCTTTAGATGTGGCCGATATAAATAGTAAGTAAAAATGATTACGTGACTACTTGAACTCTCCGCTGTGTTCTCTGCCGCGAAAGGCCAGTAGCGCAGACGACTAGAGAACGGCTCGGCTCCAAATCCAAACAGGAAGGTGAGAACTCTAGGACTAAGCCTTGGAGGAAATGGACTCCGGATTGGATAAGCCAATTAATTCTTGGCAAAGTTTGATGTATCAGATCACAGTAATCATAAGCCGCTGTTAAGCGAGAGAGCGCAGGCGAGAGCATCAAATCGAGGCGGTTTAAAGGACCGAGTTCAAGTTGTCCGTAGACCAAAACTGAGCATTAAGCCTGGTGTCTGTCTCGTGAAGGAGACAGAGGAGGAGAAGGGTTAGATGTCACAACAACGACGGATGGGACGAAAGGCTACAGGACACGTGTTGTCGACAGAGCGCGTTATTTCTGAAATTCAGGAAATCCCAAGTTTTCAATTATGTCAATCAGACCTGTGTATTTATTGCCTAGTTCAGGTTTTCGATAACGGCTACATTTTTACGTACGATAAGGACTCATCGTGTGGACAACGGAGTTTTTGGCGATGCGAGCGTAAAAATGAATGTCCGGCTCGAGTGCACACTAATCCATTCACTAATCAGGTTGGACTCTTACTAGCATCTTTTAGTTATCCAGAAACTGATGGAACAACTTGAATGAATAATACGATCATGAAGGAAACCTGAACACTTAAAGGCAGCGATTACGATAAATTCAAGAAGGGTTTAGTGTGATGTGGTGGTGCTCAATGGTACGCCAGTAGCGAAAAAGCAGAAAATTCCGTCAAGAAAACGACGTATGAACGAGTTCACCGCAACGCGTTTGATGGCACCATGCCAAACACGCTTCAATCGAGATGCTCCATTTGTGCCGCTGCTGGCAACGCAGCTCGTCCAAATCACCAAGTAAACTAGTGGGCGGATCGCTTTTGGGGCGGAGCGCTTTCGAAGTCCTGCTCAGCAACCAGCGCACCTTTCGTTGTGAAAGCGCCACATCTCGCTTCCCTGGCAGCCAAGTAACTGATTCGTGTGGTGCACATGCTTCCCCGATGCGCTCCCTCTTTATCGTAATCGCTTCCTTAATAATTCGAATAGCATACATAAAAAAAAGCTATCTTGCGCTTGAAATACTCACTGAAAAAGGTCCCCCCAACGAACACCAGGGCAAGGCCTTTGGCGCGGTTACACAGCGGCAGCTTGTACAAGCGAGACTTTTTAGCAGGAGCTTACAAAATGCAACACATGTTTTGGGCGATGCAATGTGGCGGGGGGGGGCCACTTCGCAACATCGCGTCAAAATCACGGAAACGCTCCGTTTTAGGACTAAGCTTTTGAAGAGGAGAGGAACTCCGGTGTACGGAAGCAATTTTCGTATTCTCCGGAGTTCGTCCCTGCTGTTTAGGCTTAGTCCTAGATGACTTTTCTCGGTGCTAACTTAGTTGGGGGGGGGGGCCGGCGGCGCGGCAGTCTGCTCGCCTGGCATGTTCGGAAATCCGTGGGCCAGGGGGAGTGTAGCCAGTCTAGGGGGTGGGGGGTGGGGGCAGTCACTTGACATGCGTGAAAAGCTGGAATGTTCGAGTTTACACTGTCTCGTTCGAGAGAGCCCAGGTGAGCAGACTGCCGCGCCGCCGCGTGGCCCCCCCCAACTAAGTTAGCACACCTGTTGTACAGCGATCGGAGGGGCCCCCCGAGCCACACTGCGCCTAATTTTGCATATGGCGCGCTTTCATAGTAGGTCACATACGCCGCGGTCGCGCACAGGAGGCAGCGCGAGCGCGGCATTGGCCGTGTGTCATCTTGTTGGCACTACTCCAAAACACCCATTTTTCAAATAACAAGGAAGCGCTAGGTCCAGCCGATATATTTGAGCTCGTATAATGAAGTGAGAAACTCAGCGAAGAAACCAGTTGACGATTCGAAAGGAATACGTGAGGAACATATATTTAGACAATGATAAAATGTGACCTAATGTGATGTGGCATTTGCGCAAATGCCAGCATCTCGTATTGACGCTCTTCGCACTTTTCGTGAAGTCTGCACCGTCGCGACGCCCAAAACTTCCTATTTCAGATTATAAAACGACTTCATTCGCATTCTCATGAGCCACCGAATCCAGATGAGCTCCCGCCATGGTTACTTCTCAAAGGTGAAGATGCCAATACACCGCCTCCAGGAGATTATCACTCGTAAGTTTCTCTTCTTTCGATTGAAGATCTGGGTCAGATGAAACGAGCTCAGAGGATTTCAAGTTGACTAAGAGCTATACATTTTTAGGCAGACAGCTTCACCCCCTGGTGCCTGTGTGATACTTCCGTGTCCAATGCTGCCTAGTGCATCCACTCTACAAAATCGATGTCAACAGAGTGATCAACACGAAGTGAAGCCGGCAGTGACAGAACCCGAACCAGAAGACATGGTCGAACCACCTCGAAAAAGATCGCGGAAATTGAAGATTCGAGAGGTTTGTGAGGATATGCTAGGAAATGCAGCCGTTTTTCAGTGATACGTTTTGCAACCATTACATAATTATCGATTGGTTACTCAAACAGTGGAGGAAGAAAAGTCTGTTATACTCTGGTCCGGCCCTCCAAGCCTGTTCTAACGCAGAATTGCTAACGTTCACGGTTTACCCTAGCATCATAAGCATCAAAAAGTCCATGTGATATGAATTCTTTAGAGCTAGAGCCGGTGCATAGACAAATGTCGGACTGCGAATTGCTAGCGTCCGCGGTCGCGTCGCGGCCAACGAATGGCTCAATTGGCTGGTACCGCAACGCGACCGCGGACGCTAGCGAATCGCTCGCTTCGCAAAGTCTGACAGCGGCCATACCGAATCTGCATGACAGACCTAGCCGCCGGTAACGGAGTATTTCTATTCCTCAAAGGTATTACCCAGGACTAAGTTTGTTAAGTGAAGCCTTACGTGAGGAAGGAAGGAGGGATCGGCAAGCAAATGAGACGTACCTACCGATCAGCAAGCAAGCTGCTAGTTGCCAACTGGCTCCATCCAGCAGCAGGAATTCTGACCACGAATTGACGTCACAGGTCAATACCAACTCACCTACTCGGACTAATTGAGCTCGACCCTTTGAGTGAATCAATGTGTTGCCTTCGTCTGCATCCTCTCGCCTGCACTAGTGGTTTACTACTATAGCAACTCACTCCTGAATTCTCTGAATAAGTCTCATTCCCCCTGGCTATCCCGTTTGGCAACGTTAAAAGCTGCGGTAGCCATCCTTCCCTAACCCTCTGTAACCCCTGCTCCTAATCACCGATTCTATCCGATCCGCGGCACTCAGTACTTCTTATCAAGCTGGCTGTCTTCTAGAACACCTCCAGCCCTACAGAAAATGGGACCCTGTCGGTTGGGATTTCCGGCAGTTCCCTCCCCTTTTTTCGTGGCAGTCAGTCAACCATCAATTTACACCTTTGGTTCCATATTTCAAGCCATACCAGCGTGACCTTGTAGTGAGCCTATCAGGGCTGTGAGGTCGTGTAAACCTTTTGATCATTTCGTGCCTCTATAATATTGAGTAATGAAGGATAATTTCAGGCTCCTCCTGATGTCGTCTCCGTCAAAGAGTTATTTCTGCAGCACCCTACAGAATTTTGGGAACTTTTCGAGGCAACTCGCAAAATGGTACACTTTCTAAAAGGCGACGAAGGGTAAGTGGGTTTATTATAAATGCATATACATATACAGATAGGACACGTCAACATACCCTTTCTTTCAAATAAGGAGAAAAACTTACACAAGTGTGAAGGCTCACAAAAAGTGTGAATGTTTTCTGACCATAAATGATGGCTGTTGCAGTTCTTATACTCTATCAGTAATATATATCACCAGTCTTCACAAAATCAGGCTATACAATGATTATCCAAGATAAGATTCTTGGAGGCCGTCCGTAACTTGTGGTTGTATGGTCTGAGCCGACTGCTTTTCGTTATTTGGAAAGGAGACTAGTAGACTGTACTTCCTCGGAGGTGGGTGACTACGTGCTGAGGCCTTGATAAATCGCGTTTCATGCAATTTTCGTGATCTTTGTTCATGGTACCAGTACAATCGCGGTTGCGTTAGGTTTGTCTACGCGATTTTGCGACGCGCGCCTTGATTCGACGTCTTTAGGCCGATGTCATAGTTTGCGAATCGAGCGATTCGCTAGCGAATCGCTCGATCCGAGCGTTGCGCCAGCGAATCGAACGTTGCACCAGCGAATCGAACTTTGCGCCAGCGAGTCGAACGATGTACCAGCGAGTCGAACTAGGTACCAGCGACTCAATAGTGGGACCGTTTGAAGATGCTCACTTTCAAACAGCGTCCACTGTCACGTTGACTCGTATTTGAAAGTGGCGGGCTTCCTTTAAACGTTGGGTCCCGCCACTATTGAGTCGCTGGTACCTAGTTCGACTCGCTGGTACATCGTTCGACTCGCTGGCGCAAAGTTCGATTCGCTGGTGCAACGTTCGATTCGCTGGCGCAACGCTCGGATCTAGCGATTCGCTAGCGAATCGCTCGATTCGCAAACTATGACATCGGCCCGAAGCTGCATTCTGGCATAGTTCGCACTGTCAGCTAAGTAAGTGGGGAAAAGTCAGTATCCTCGCGATTCACCAAGCGCGGAACACACGTAAATGCCCTACACAGTTCGTCAAAAGAGGTATGACTGTCATTCATAAGATGACGTCGATAGGAAGGTTGTCCGGATTGATGGCACACGCAGCTTTGTAGAAGTCGCGCGTAAGCTGTTCAAATAATTCCAGGAAATCCAGCGAAAACAGGTTAGAAGCGCTTATTCGCGACTTCTATCAAGTGCGGGAGCTGCCACTTCATTTCCAGTGACACGCCTAGTCAGACTTCGAGATATGGACTGTACAGTCAATATCTCGAAGCCTGCCTGGGCGCGTCACAGGAAATGAAGTGGCGGCCACCGGACTTGATAGATGTGTGTGGATAAGATTAGTCCGCCAGTGAGCAAATCAAGCAATCGCAGCATGTGGAAAGCAGATTATAGCCCAAGTTCTTATCAAGTTGCGGTGGTTGACACGTTTCCGTGGCGACGCCAACAAACTTTCAAGATATAGAGCTGTACGTGATACCCGGTTACAAGGCTTCTGTCAAAGGGAAGGGAAAGCAGACGTTCTTTGTGGTAGTGGGACTACTAAGCCTTTTGAAGGAGGTAAAGAAAGCGGAGATTCTGTAATAGTGCGCTTGTGTGAGAGCTCCCAGACAGCACAACAAAACGCTGAATTGCCTAGCCTCACGGTTGACAGATGTCCGGAGACCGTGATGCCACGCGCTGAAGTCTGTTATTGCGACACCTCCTCCGCACAGATACAGAGTGAAGTGTACTTCATTCATGCATGTCTAACGAGTCCTTGAGTGTTATGTTTTTAGACCTTCTATGGCGCCATGCGTCACGTCCACCAATTCTGAATGTGATTCTGCAGTCGACAAGTTTCTTGATAACATAAGGATGGCCAAATACAAACCGACCTTTGCAAAGTAAGTTGATGATTGACTGTTTCTCAGAAGTTTGTGTCGGTCGTGAGTGGACGTGGTTCCCGGAGATCGATCCTAGCAGTTCGTGGATCAGGTTTTCCTATCTGGAAATTCAACAAAATGAAGCATAACCTAATGCGCAGTATATATGTATTATATCTTGATGTATTTGGAACATCTCATAACTTTTTTCAAAAGGTTCTCTATGGATGTGCTGCGATCACTGAGTGTGGAAGAACTGTGTCGCATATGCAGAAATGAGGCGGATGCTCTATGCATTCATCGCTCCCTCAAAATTAGGTAACTTCTAGCTGCCTATCGTTTTTACTATGTAGTATATCAATGTGACCGTATCTCTTCCAAATTCAAATGTAAAATAAACAAAATTCACCTTTCAGGTTCGCAGCATCATCAGAAGCTTCAAGTGCAGTCAAACTTTTTGTCCGAGAAATGTCTTCAGGTATAATGAGCGAACCGATGTATCAGATGATAATATTAAAAAGCCAGACTAAGGTAGGTTTTTCGGTTCTCTAGACTTCCCAACATACTTTGGCGAGTATTGAATTAATTGTGGAATTTAGTTAGCGAAATTATTATTCAGGAAGAGTTCGTATCACTTTTGGAGAAAAAAGGACTAATAGATACAACTAATGTGGAGCGATTTTGTGTGCCCGGTCCTGGAGGGATTAAAGTCGAGTTATCAGACGACGTAAGTGTGCTGCTGGAAGTTTGTCTTTTACTACATATCCTTCGAGAGAAATTGAAACTTAAGCAAATCAAACTTCTAGGAGTTCTAGTTTACTTGAAAAGGTTATGAATATAGCAAAAAAAAAACGTGTGCCTTTGTCCATTAGCTAGCGAGAAAGCAAAGCTTCGCTTTTGCAACCACAACTGACTGAGCATTTTTTCCTTTTTCTTAAATTCATACTTTCAGATAGTGTCGTCGTGGAAGGACGAGTCCGTGTTTCACATAAATGTTGACAAAGGTGTGTGCAGGCTAGACGTTGTGGTTCAACAAGTTCCACTGGGGACCACACCAATTTTTAACCATTAATCAAGGAAGCTCCCACAATTCCATTTGTTCCCAGCAGCTCTGGAACAGATAATGCAAAAAAGCTGCCAGCTTGCCCCAAGGCTGGATATGCACTCGGCGAGGATGCAGACCGCTCCGCTGTCACTGTTGAAGGCGCGCCTTACGACTGCGTCGCTTGGTGCAGCCGATGTCAGACTTTGCGAATCGCGCGATTCGCTAGCGTCTCGCGGTCGCGTCGCGGCCAGCGAATCGCTCGATTGGCTGGTACCGCAACGCGACCGCGGACGCTAGCGAATCGCTCGATTCGCAAAGTCTGACGTCGGCCTACAAAATAACATGGACCAATAGTCGGCGGTGCAGCTGGCTGCATGTTCGCTCACTCTTTACTGCTTTATGGTCGATTATCCGTATGAATGATATACTAGACTTTCATTTTTCTTGCCAATCAACTGCTATGCTATTAACGATACATGTAATACACTTCATAAATGATACTCAAGATTATTAGGGATTTCCTTGCACAGCTTTTTACATTGAGAAAATTTAGTGGCTCTCAAATTCTTGCCAAATCATTTTCTGTCGAATGGTCATTATTATACGGATTTTGAGTCACATATATTTAAATTAATCTAATACTCTTACTTGCCAAGTTCTTATGCTGTATATGCGGTGCTTTAATTCTAGCCAATCCGTCTTGCCTATTTTATTTTTGAATATTTGCCTATTTGAATAAACTGTTAATTGGGCTTAGAAGTTTTCCAGATTATAAAGTGTATATAATGGATTACAAAACGAACGGATTCAAAATCGTGAGATAGTTGGGGAGAGCATGAGAAGAACTCTGACCGAGGCTTGAAAAAGTTGCGGAATTGAAATAGTACTGTGAAGTGAACCATTTTGAATGCAGGTATAACTGCACCTGTTTTAGGGTGGTTGCTTTTAGCTACAATATTATTTTATTTTCTTCCGATGATATCCCGCCGACCAGCGCAAACCGGCCCAAATACGGAGATCGGCTGCCAGCTGCCTAAACTTTGTCGCACATGAGAATAGGTACTTCATAAGTGTAGGCCCAGCAGTAGTATATTTGAAGGCAGTCGATATAACGTGTTTTTGATGATGTTGATTATTTGATGTGACGTTCATATTGCTAAATCTACATTTATGACTCACCCTGACTGACAAAATAATAAAGTGTAAGTCATACATAGGTCGCTATACTGAAAAGCGCAACCTTACCTCCTGATCGCAGCGGCGATTCGTTTAAAAGTCGTGAAAAACGTCATGCCTTTCGTAATCTGTGCAGAAACCTTACTGGCGCTGATAGTTTCAGTTGTAGCAAGAATGGTAAACGGCTCCTTTCTGCCCTAAAAAGAGAAAAATTTCCGTAAAATAAGAATTGGTTTATGTTTTCAAGAGCCGGCACAATCACTGTTCGCATGAGCTAAGAAGTGAACATGACATCCGCTCCGTGACATAGCTCCTTTGGAACTTACAGACAGAAGAAGTTTGACTCAATAGCATGAAAACAGCATTATTTCGAGCAAATCAGGCTACGTGGGACACCATGACTCGGATGCGAATCACGCCTGTTTTCTACGGCCATGGAAGCGAAAGCGCGCACTGTAGCCGGCATGGAACAACTCCAACGTTTAAAAAGAGGTCTGATGCTTGGGCCCGTGGGCCTAAACTCCTCGTTCCTTTACACGCAAGTAGTCCATTTGCACACATACTAAGGCAGCGGCGTATTTTGTTCATGTGAAAACTTATTTTGTTTATGTGGAACTCTTTTGATCGAACAAATTAATCGTGTAGTTTTTTCCTAATCAATTTTACATTTCTTAGTTGACCAACCACTGCATTGGCGATCACGTTTCTAACAGTAATTGTAGTACAGCGCAAAAAAATCTGCAAAATTAACGAATCAGGCGGCGCTGGTATCGTCAGTGGGCGGGTGTCCCCAAGAGGCCCACCGCGCGGCAAAGGATGAGTCGCAGCGCGAGCTGCGCGATTTGAGACGTAGGGCACTATCGCACTACATATTACAACCCCAGTAGGGGTGAGATGGGTCAAAAAAGAAATTTTTGCCGATACTGGCCTGATACTTGAGCTCGTGTGCCAAAATTCCTCGTTCCATTAAAGGTATGTAGTCCGTTTGCGCACATACTCAAGAAACAAGCCGGATTTAACAGTCCGATGAGTGACCGCTACCGTAATCCACGTTGGCACTGGAGCGCGCAGCTACACTACTGCTGTGTACCCACACGTTTCAGCACCAACGTGAGAGGGTGCCTCGCTGGTGAGTGCACAATACCCCCTCCACCACAGCCGCCCTTGGGCGACTATCCAAAAATACACGCAGCACCAGTCTCGTATTACGGTTGCGGTCGCTCACCGGACGATCCGTAGTTGCACATGATAAGGGCAGAAGCCGACTCTGAAAAACATTAGTGAATACTCAGTAAGAACTCGAAGAGGCGAAAGAGTGACGTCGATTTCGTAGAACCCGTAAAACGAAGTGACTCGAAAACGTGAATTCCGTCAACAACTTAACGAGAGCATCTCAACGAATTCGAAGAACAGAGGAGTATTTGGGAGGAAGAGATCTCCAGCAGCAACGATTTCATTGAGTTGACCTGCATGACCACCATCGAAAAAATAAACAAGCCATCAGAAGGGAAAAAGTGAGAAAAGGACAAACAGAAAACAAAAAGGAAAAAGCAAGGCGATCTCAGGGGCATTTGGCCCTGAACAACGTCGCAACTCATTAGCGAAGGCACTATTTTGCATCCCAAATCCCACACATGGTGCCCGAAAGTTCACAACAGTCACACTAGACACGACTAATACCTTATATGATAGATCATATGGACTGGAAAAAAAAAGTTTGGCCCCAGTCATCACTTTGTGCAGCCTAACTGAGAAGCTCCCTTTTAGCGGATAGTAAATAAACAACTAAATAAGACAGCTCCCCCTCACATTCTCGATTGCTCCGACTTGTTTACAAACAACCATATTGCGAGTCCCGCGAGACGACTGCCTTAAATCTGTGGCGGAGTAAAGCGGTCGTATTTTGAAATTTTTCAAATATATAGTGATAAACGAGCACATCAAAGGGTTCACAGTACAGATTTAGCCCTTTCCGCATAAAACTTAAATCTTTATCATCCACTAACATTTATTGATAAACCAGAAATCTTGCATGCTTTTGTCTGCCTTTTTTTCTGGTTTGTTCAGTCGGTGTTTTTTGTTTACTACCTAGCCTCACATTTAATGAGGTATAACCCGGACTATTAGAGTTTCCCTTGGGGCATGAACGGCGGCGCTTGTCGGAACATAACGATGATGGACGGAGTAGAACCAAATAAAAAAGGGCGGAAAAACTCTAAGTTCTAACATTTCCGTTTTCATTAGAAAGAAGCCGATATGCGTAAATCTGGGTCAGCCCGCAAACGGACTATAGGATTT